TTTTGTAGGTAAAACATAAATATGCAAAGTAGCTAATACCAGAGTCAAAAGTACAAGATTTGTTGCTGGGCCCGTATTCACAAAGCTTCCTAAGCCTAAAAGTTGCTCCTAGTGACGAAATTCTAAGAAAACTCTTAGAGTTATGACATTTTTTAAGAATTTCCCCTTAGATATAGGACTAAATCTTAGTAAAGATAAAAGTGATTCACGAAACATCTTAGCCCCAAGAACAGCTCCTAAGGTAAAAATCCTTAAGAGTAGAGAGGAGGACTTTTAAGCGGCTTAAGAGTTCCTCTAGCAGCAGACAAAATGGTGGAAAGAAGAAATATTCTCGAAACAATGAACGACCATGAGTTAATTAAATGCTACAGATTGGATCATGATGGGATTATGTTTGTGGTTGACCTTATTAGAGATGCGCTCACATCTCCCACCGCTCGTAGTAATGCCATAACGCCAGAAATCAAAGTGATTACAACGCTGAGGTATTTGGCAACCGGAAAGATGCAACAGTGCAGCAGCGATGACTTGTGTCTGCCACAACCCTATATCAGCAGAGTGATGCACAAACTATTGAAGCGCTTTCACAGTCTCATGTAGTGACACGGTTTATTTCATTTCCACTGGACATTCACACTCTGTAGACTCACAAAAGGGCATTCATGGACATAGTGGGTTTTTTTATATACAAACATTATGACTTCACTGTCCATCATATTATCATATATACTCTTTTCACAAAGACCGCATTTTTGTAAAGACCGTGACAGATTCTTTATCAACCAATCACAGTCCATGATTTGCTGCGTCACCCCTAGCAACGGGGTCAACCACACCTCCTCACTAATATATAAGTTTTTGTACTTTCCTTGCTCAGAATTGCTCTGAGAAGTTTCCTAAATCACTTTTAGTCTAGGACTCCCAGCTAGGACGTTTTAGGCTAAGATAGGAGCTCTCTGAGAGAATTCTAAGATGCTCTGTGAATACGGGCCCTGAAGTCTAGTGGTGTAAAAGTATAAATGAGCAGAAAAATCAATGCTGAAGTAAAACCCAAGAATCTCAAAGTGGTACCTGATGCTACCATTTGCACACTGTAGCCATAATACTCTACTTGTTGTCTGAAGCTGTACTTGGTCTTGTACAAACCTTAGAAGGAAATTTCATATTTTGTTGTATTTACAGGTTCAAATGATCAAAATTAACATTGCAGCCAAGGTTTCAAGCAGAGCTCTAAGCTTGGCATAAAGATGAGCCAGTAATCTTCCTTCTCTGGTGTTTAACTTTATTTTGTTTGCTAAATAAGCCCATGTACACATGGTTTGTGCGACTGATTAGGAAGGTGTTTAATGGCTGATTCTCACCTTCTCTATCTTCTCTTTGAGCCACTGAGACGATGGATTGATGCACCAATGTTTGTTCTTCTTTGTTATAATGCTAGAAACAGGAAAAAGAAACACACAACAATCAGACATATTCATTACCTGAATGTTCTTTGGCTGATAATGAAACATTTGGTGGCCATTTTAAATTACGTTTGCATAGTTTCCTATCAAGGGTATAAGCTTTGTGAATCATGAAAACATGTGTCCATCCGCAGATTTCCCTGTGTAACCAAATTAGACTTAAATGAAGCTGCTAATACAATATTTTTCCCCTTTCAAGGTGAAGCCCACAAAGGGATAATGAGATGAGAAAATGCTGGAAATGTCACTTGATTTTCTGGCAACAAAAAATGGGAGTGGAAACATTCAGTGTTGTGTGTTAAAATCAGGCTGTGCTTACAGGAAGGCATGGTGGTTACAGTCCTCTCGCGGCTTCTGCTCGTAGCACTGTTTGATTCGCTCGATCTTCCTGGAGGTGACAGACCGACAGCAGGTTAAACCTACAATTGGAACGTAGGTGTCCGCTGCACCAGCAGTCCAACACACACACACACACACACACAGAAAGACAGAGATACTCATCATTATTCAGCGTTATATCCGAAGTTCTTTAGACAGCAGGATAGCAAAGACGGCCTGTAACAGACTGACACAGTTCCCATGAATCACTGCTTTTTGGAGTATTGTTGTGATCACTTTAATCTTACCACAAACTGAGGATGTTTTTATATTATCTATTGTTTTAGAACAGGAATTCCACAGTGTAATTTAACTGAAAACCACCTGACTGTACATTGAGGAAAAAAAACAGGCTTGCACCCACAACCATTAGTACTACACAGGCTACAGTTTCAGAAATGCCAGTAAAAGTAAATCTGTCATAAGACAGAAGATACCATTCAATTGTTAGTCCGGTGTTACCTTGTGAGATAAAGAAGAACATCACCATAGCTAGGGTGAGCAGAAAAACCCAGCGGCTGACAGAGAGGGCCATCCACATCTTCAGACAGTGACTGTAGAGCTCAGCTGTAAATGGCTCAGCTCACCAAAGTCTGCAGGCAAGTGGCCTAGAGAGCAGCAGCCTGACCTTATATACTGCAGTTCAGTAACAAAATGAGGAACCACTGTTGTCATGAGCCATATTTCTGGAATGGAAACAGCCAGTAAATGACAAGACAGGAGATAAAGACTCACACACCCAGAAGGTAATGGAATTTGTTATCATGGCCATATATGTTCTGGTGGGTGGTGATATGTACAGGGATGATGCTGCTGATACAGTTACATGAACTTCACATCTGTCACTAAACTGCAGTGAGTCTAACAACAAGTCATTTAAATTCCAATGCATTTGACATTTGAGCTGAAAAGGTGAATAAACCGCATTAAATGTCAGCTAAAACATAAAAGCATCATGCAGAAAACAGAATGTTTTGAATAAACATTCATAAATTTGTCAATGGGCCTTTTCTTTTTACATGTGCTTTTTTTTTGCCTCCAGTGTGATTTTTAACTTTATATCACAATTATTAGCGTACATCGTCATCCAGAGAGGAATCTATTACAAGTATGTTGACAAATATTTACTAATCGGTGATTTAATGATCTATTTCCAGTGAACTGGATATTAGATCAGTTTTCTTTGTGGTATCTGTGAGAAACACAAGGGGAATCACTGCGACTCACGGGGCTGCTCTGAGACGCACTAAAAATAACCCTCGCAGAATGACCAACCAACTAATTTTAGTATCCACTACAATAACCACAAAAACAGTCACCACAGCATGAGAAGCTGCTGAAAAACCCTGAAAGAATTACTCACATGCATGGAATGTAGCTGCCTAACAAATATTTAACCTTCAGTACCTCTGAAATTATGTAAGTGTGGATTTGAAATATTTGATTTGTCACCACTGTGTTTTGGCAAACGCTTAAGTCAACAGCAACTTTCAGTTGTTCAGGCTCCCACACCAGGAGTACTGGGCTCTAGTGTCTTATTGACAGAAGCCAGAGGTTGAACCACTAACCTAAGTCTCACTAATTTACATGTTATACATTATCTGATTTGTTTTATTCATAACTGGATTTTGGTCAGCATCATGAACACATCACCAGTGAAGACTCTAGGAAACCACTGCACCCACCGAAGTAATAGTCTTGCAAATAACCCCCAATATACACACTTTGGTTTCCATAAGGACAAAAAGAAACATTTATCTGGCGCTGCAAAATTTGAATTTCTGATCTGTGTGTTCTGTTTTCTGTGCTGAAAACTGGTGTAGAAAGGCAAAAACATTTCACAAAAAAGTCTGACATTAATGAAAAACATAAAATCTGCTGATAAAGCAATACAGTGACATTTTCATTAACATAATAAAAAATAATATTTAAAAACTTTAATTTGTAAGTAACAATGGCAGTATGTTATTCTAACAAATGAAGGGTTACAATGATTATTTTCATTACTGATTAATGGGATGATGTGCTGGTTATTTTCACTTTTAACTGTTTAATCATTTAGTCTTTAAAATATTTAAAAATATTTTTTAAATGACATTTATTTCTCACAGCCCATAGTGATGTCCAAAACCTAATAATACTTACGTGACTAAGAAAAGCTACAAAATGTTGTATTTAAGAAGTTGAAACCAGAGAACATTTGGCATTTTTGCCACCCCCAAAAAACTGAAGCAATTTATCAATGAAATAGTTGCCAATTCATTTCTAAGTCAATCAAATAATTTAGTATTTGTCTAATTATTGCTGCTCCAATTAAATGCAAAAACAATATATAGTTGCTAATGCAAGGCATTTTAAAATGAGTAACTGCAAGACAAAGAGAAGCAAGAAATGAGGAAGAAAAGAAGGGCAAGGCAAGTGCATTGATAGATGGTATCAGCATGTTTACATCATACAAGTGTGTCTACTTCACTATTAGTCTTTGCATGGGTGTAGGTTTGCAGCTATTTTTACACAGAAATTGCCAAAGACTCTCATGATAAGTCCTCTCTCCTTGTTTTTTCCACTTCTTTTTTCACCCTGCAGGTGCTCATACATAGTTCAAACAACAACAAATAGATGCTGAATGGTTGCAAAGAGAGGTGAAATGACCACAAAGGCTCACAACAACTAAAAAGAGGCACAACAATTCTACAAATAAATGCTGAATGGCCACATAAAGATGCATAACAAAAATACTGCAAAGAACACACAAAATGACTACTACAAAAAAAGTGCTGAATGATCAAAGAAAGATGCAGCTACAAACAAACTAAAATCAACTATGACCAGAAGGAGATACAAAGACACTACAAAAACATTTGTAAAAAAAACATAAAATGAATGAGAATATGAATAAAGAATAAAATTGCCATTGCTGTATTGTGTGTAGTCATGTTTTCTTTTTCAGTCTGGAGCTCTTGCTCCATTGTAGGGGTATGGGAACCTTTTACACCTCTGTGCACAGGGTGCCATGATCTCCTAAACTGTCTGTGCCACTGAAAATAACATTAACTCTGTTTTGTTTGCATTCAGTGAAAGCTTGATTTGAATGAGTTGTTGGTTAAAGTAAAGGTATATTTCATATATATAATGTAAATCTTTATTGTTGTCTATGTTGGTGATAAAATGCTTGTTGAAGTGCCGAATCAGATTCCACCATGCATTCACGGTGCATATACCATACATTCAGGATATACCATAACCACTTTGTGTGCGTTCTCGCGAGATCTAAGAAACAGCGCCCCCTTGTTTAAAAGCGACAGGAGGTACGAGAATAGCGGCTAATGATAGCAAGATACACAATTAAGGATTTATGTCACTTCACCGACACAGTGGAGGTAAACCAGAAGTTGCAGGAGGACGTATTCTCGACTAAACCTCCGTTTATTTCTGCTACATTCCTTCTGAGGCTTGAAGCCAGCGAGAGAGCCCCGCTCATCCCGAGAACTGGGAAGCGGCCTGCTTTTGTAGCCGGCTCTCCGGTGCAGCTTAGGCGGCTAGCTGTCACCAGAGCTCGGTGATATCTCTTTGCTTATTTTTCTTTAGACCAAGAGAAGCTTCGGAGCTCCGAAATCACTTTGCTTTAAAATCCACCGCCTCTCTTTAACAAAATATCCCCCTTTGACGTACAGCTGTAGGCGATTTTCACCAAAGGACCATTTTTCTCCGGAGCGTCCTGTTTTGTTTTCAAGTCGCCATGAATCTCTGCGAACAACAATAATAACAACCACAACGAGCCAGCTGGAGCTGCACCGCTGAGCGCCACCGATGCCTCGTTGTGGGATCATAAATGCTTTTTGTGGTACCAGCTCTGGACCGACGTGAAAAACGGGGACGAGGGTGCATGTGGACTATGACATACAGCGGGAAAACGATGCAAACCGGAGCACCTTGTCACGAAAGCCCCCGGCTGGATTTCGGAGCTGCTGCTAGCTAACTAACATTAAAGGCCACTGGCGGAGGAGAGAGTGCCACATGATGCTTTGTCTGGTCATAACTCGCGGACTGTATGGAATCAAAATGAGCCGACTTGGATGAACCGATGCATGAATGGTCTCCTTGTGAATGCGCTCCCATCAGAAACGGCACTACTTTCAGAGCTGGGACACACTGAGGATGGATCGGGTTTGACTGGGGATGAGTAACCTCTATCGCTCTGTGTACAGTCTGTGGATTTACCGACGAGGAACTAAAAACGTTATATACATCTATGATCGCTTCAAAGCCACCAGACTCCCTTGACAAAAACAGTGATTTTACCTCACAGAACACGGGAGTCGCGGGGCAGCCTCTGCCACGTTTGTTTGTTATTGTGTGATTTTTAACGTAGTAATACATCTGAACGGATCGGACTGGAGCCCCGGGCCAGGTAGCTGAGATGAACCCGGTGAATGCGACCTCTCTCTACGTTTCCGCGAGCCGGTCGGTGCTGCAGTGCGACCCCCGAGACCCCCGGGCCCTGGCGGAGCTCTGCAAGCTGCTACCGTTTTTCCGCCAGTCCCTGTCCTGCCTGGTCTGTGGTGAGTCCTTCTGTGTGTCTGTGTGTGAACATTATTTTTTTTATTTAAATATAATTGCATGCTCGCATAAATGTGAGTTTTACGACAGGTTTCTGTACCGTGCTTTTTCGTCAGCTGTCCTCATGGTGAGAGTGAGCCTCTCAATAATGCTGCTTTCAAGTACAGTTGGAAATATCTGAATCCACATTAATAATCAGAAGTGTTCGGCAGTGGTGGAAAGTAAACAAGTACATTTACTAATATACCGTTTTTAGCCACACATAGGGTTAATATTTAATGCTGCTTTGAATTTGAATTTGAAACTTCCCCTTTTTATTTCACTTACCTTAAGATGTGCCATCGACCATATAATATATGTAATATACTGTAAATGATTTGTAAAATGTTGCCCATGTGTAAATATTTATTATTATGAACAACAGCAACACTAATCATAACCTGCCATCCTGAAATTAGCCATTGTGCATGAGTGATTTTGAGATTTAAGTACATTTCAGTACATCACTAAAATATAAATAATAATAAACTCTGTTTTATAGAGCACCTTTCTTACACAGGGTTTACACAATACAGAACAATAAATTAGCAAAGACATGTCAATAAAAATAAAACATGATGGCGAGATAAAAATAAAAACACAACTTACATTTACTATGTTAACTTAAAGTAAAATTTTGAGTGTAAGACTCTTAATGAAGTGTCCTTACATTGTGGGGTATAGTTTTTCCTGGAGTAGGTACTGTATGCTTGCAGTAATTCTCCCACCACTATTGATCTGTAATGATCTAGAGAAAAACCTATATATTGTTGACAGCTCAGTGTTTGAGGATAGAATCGTGGCCAACGTGTAGTTTGGTGTGTTCAAACTGCATGAGGGTCCTTGACATGCAGAAGATAAAAAAAAAACAACCCTAATTTCCTCATACCTGAATGATGCTTTGAACAAATAACTCTATTAAGACTTACTGCTTATATGTCTTTGCTTTTTACTGCATAAAAAACCCAAATAATATGATTAGTTTTCACTTAAATCCATCTGAATTCATGTCAAGGACTGTTTACCAAATGTTTAAGCGATGTCCCGAAGTGCAGTGAATGCATCTTAATTCACAACTTCACCCATCATGACACACCCCCTCCTTGTGCTATATGTCTGCTTCCAGGAGCATCTCTGTATATTGTGCTGAACAACAGTTTTTTCACATACTGGATATTATGCACCTAATCTTCTTCTTACCCTCTTTGCCCCTAAACACACAAAAAAGTAAAATATACAGAGCAAAAACAGATGGAGACAAAGAGGGAATACTGTTTGGGAACATGGGTGTTTACACTGTTGATTTACAGCTTTAAATGTCTGTACAAAATAAAATGAGCTGTGATTTAAGTTTTCCTGTGGTTATTCTGCTCGTGTTAGGTTGTAAAAAACAAAACTTCATCTTTAATTTATTTTGGTGGTATATTTAATGCACGGGTTTCACTGCTCATACATAATACAGGCGCTCTCCCTCAACCATACTGAGGTTATAATGTGTTTGTTGTAACCCGGAGGAGACTGGAGTGACTTTTTTTGCAGGCTGTCAGTACATGGATGAATATATAGGTTATTTCTGCTATTTGGTGTGAGGTAAAGGTGATATTTGTGTTAATGGGATTGTTAGAGAATTGGGGGGGAAGATACCTAGAGATACAAATGTGGTTTAAAGGGTTAAAACAATAGTCACATTCTTCCTGATGGCTGTGAAAATAGCTGAACTCTTGCTTGTTCTGTAAAAATCTTCAAAAATGACTTGAACAAACTTATTGGTGCCCCTTGGAAGTGGATTGTATAGATACTTTAAGAATACTATTGTGCCGTCAAGTCATACCAGTCATTCATGATCCTGTATTTAAACTGAGGAAAGTCCTCATTGTGCTGTTTGGTATCACTGTGTGCACCACTCTGAACATGCAGAAGAGAGAGAGTGTGGTCTGAGTAGATAAGGAAGAAAATACATGTTCAGAGAAGCGAAAATGAAAAGAACACCACCCCTGCGGTGAAACATAGAGGAGACTCTGGTGTGTGACTTGTGCAGGGCAAAGTGAAATCAGAAGGTTATCAAGGCGTTCTCGAGAGCGTTGTCTCGGTCGTAGGTCATGACTCCTCCAACAGTTGAATAGGATTTTTCAGACAGGCAGTACAGTGTGTGTAAGGTTGGTTGTTTCTTATGAATGGATCGTCATCCTTTTTACCCATCTGCAGCTGCACTCGCTAGCGACCAGCATTGCTAAGGAAGCTTCCCTCAAAGAGTGGTTGTTATCCAGTCTGGCAAGTCGCCAGGCAGCACTCAGGTTTACGGATACACATCAGATTAGGAAGATGCTGAAACACAGCAAATGAGGATGTGGTTGTTTAACAACTTGAAAAGCCAGATCATAATTTATTTATTTATTTATTTTGTTTGTTTTTGTTTTTTTTGCAGAGTTCTGTTCATCATGATGAATCACCAGTGTGAGGTGGTCTGGATCGTAATTATGTTGTCTCTATTTGTCTTCTCCTCTCCTCAGGTAACCTGCTGCAGGACCCCATAGCTCCCACCAACTCAGCATGTCAGCATTACGTCTGTCGAGGCTGTAAGGGTCAGAGGATGCAGCTGAAGCCATCCTGTAGTTGGTGTAAGGACTATTCCCGCTTTGAAGAAAACAGGCAGCTGTCCTTGCTCGTCCACTCTTACAGGAAGCTGTGTCTCTATATCACCCAGTCACCACTGGCTCCGCACATAGCCAGCGCTGCCAGTGACTCGCCGGACCTCCAGGCTGTCCTAAATGAGGGTCTCTCATTGGCTGAGAGTGAGCCAGAGGTGGAGGACGTTTCAGATTCACTTGGGCTGTCGCACACAGCTTCCACCTCTGACGTGGTGCAGCCCATTGAAGCTTCACCAAAAAAAGAACTTAAAGAAGAGGAGCTGTCCCCCATGAGCATTAACGGACTGCATGATTGTAACGGCCTGGTCACTTTGGACACCCTGCAGCCAATCACCATAAAAACAGCTGGAGGTGTTGTAAAGCAGGAGTGCTTTTCGGAGGAGATCCCGGTGTGTGTTAGCGTCACAGCTGGCAGCGAGGCTGGGCTTTGTGACATTAGCACTTTCCGGGATGACATGAAACCTGGTGGGGGGCAGTTGTTGCTGAGTGTTGAGGAGGTGTTGCGGACTCTGGAGACAGACAGTGACCCTGACCACATCTCTGAAACCAACCTCCAGCCAGACTGCCCCCTGTCTGTACCTCAGTCTGGCCTCAATGGGCCTCGCTGCCCATCCAGCCGCAACTCCTCCCACCTCATCCCCTCGCTACCCCCAGAAAACAGCCTTCAGCCCCTCCAGCCTCACACACATCCCTCCACACATGCCCCCCCTCGGTGCCACCGTAAGCGTTCCCACTCTGAAAGTGACAGTGAAAAAGTGCAGCCCCTTCCCATCTCAAGCCTCCTACGAGGGCCTCCCCTTTATGCCAGCAGCTCCCCCCACCATCTTAACCCTGGTGTCATCACCAAACAGGAGCCTAAATTCCTTGCAGCCGTGCCCCACCCACACTTGGCCCCAGTGCCTAATGGTAGCCCCGCTAAAGTGGGCAAGACTGTGCTCATGTCCAGCAAGGCGCTGAAAAAGACTGTGGAGCACCACGGGCCCACCACCTGGAAGACTCATACCAAGGCCGGCCAAGTGGCCCCCAAGCCCCGTGTACAGCCCCGTGACCGGGTCACCCACCACCCCCATGTGCACCCCCTAACACACCCACCCAGCCCCTCAAAGCCACTATACAAGAAGCCTGTGGAGAAGAAGGGCTGCAAGTGTGGCCGAGCCACACAGAACCCCTCTGTGTTGACCTGCAGGGGGCAGCGCTGCCCCTGCTACTCCAACCGCAAGGTGAGAACTATGTTGACCCGACACAGAAGGTGCTGTGCTCTGTGTCAGTTCATATATGTAGATGTAGATACCAGGAAATAAAAGCTGAAGTCTCATGTCCATCTTTTGATCCTAAACCCAAATGAAAAAACTTAGAAAAAATCAACTGGACTTAAATTTCTAGGTAGAAGACATTTCACCTCTCATCCAAGAGGCTTCATCAGTTCTGGTTTACTATGACCTGGATGACTGAGAATCTGCAAAGACATAAGACCAAATGTCTTCAGTGTACAGCAAACACAAACGAATTGGCCGAGTTGATCATGCATAGTTGATTATTAATGGCCGAAGTGTGTTCTTTTTGCTTTGCACTGTTAGTCTTGTTTTGCCATTAGTAGTTACTCAAATCCACTTCATGACTGTGGGATTTGAATCATTAATCTTTGTTTTGACAAAGAGGTCCTCTGAGTCGCGTGATCAAATCTCACAGACCTCATCAGCAGATAAACAACAGAACTGTCAATGTTCAATACTGAAATGATTTTGAGAACCTGCAGGGCTTCTGATCCATAAGGTTGGTTATGAAATGAAATGATCTGTTTAATCTTCTTGTCATGGGATAGTCTTTATATCACTGTTGAACATTTGTTGATGTTGTTTGTTAAGCCATGTTGTTATTGATTATTATTGTTGTCTTTCCAAGGCGTGTCAGGAATGTATCTGCCGTGGCTGCCAGAACTCCTACATGGCCAATGGAGAGAAGAAGCTGGAGGCCTTTGCTGTGCCAGAGAAAGCTCTGGAACAGACCCGGCTCACGCTGGGCATCAACCTCACCAGTATCGCCGCGGCGGCCCTCCGCAACCCCGCCTCCTGCTCCCCTGGCAGCACCCTCCTCAATGTCACTGGGGCGCCTGTCACAACTACCTTCCTGTCGGGGGCGGGGCACGATAACAGGGGCTTTGACGATTCACTGGAGATGCGGTTTGACTGTTGAGGCGCCGCCCGTCCTTCGGTCAGAGAGCACACACATTCCCTGCCCCGCCAGCCGGGTGGGATCCATCGGGTCAGACCAGGGACCTGAAGTGGCGGAGCCAGAACAAGGCAGCTACAGTGACAGGCAGGAGCGAGGGTCAGCAGCTGAGGCTGAGTCGCCACCCTCCATCCGTTGCCCGAAACTGCACCATGCTTGTGGTTTTGCGTATACACCCAGCTGCCACTTGTTTAGGTACACAAAGCTAAAACTCATGCATTCTACTCCAGCAGCCCTGCAGTACTTCCTCTTTCATGAAGGTGAAAATGTGCAGTTTTTGTTGAAACTGTTTTAAAGAGGTGTGAATTTAACTCATGAGTTGTTTTTATTGACAGTGTTTCTATTTCTTTGTCCAGGATTTTCTTTGCAGGGTTGTTGTTGTAGACTGTGGCAGTTTTCGCTTGTTGTCCCTAATAACTGTCAACTGAGTGTACACACGACGTAGGACAGAAGAAGAAAGAGAGAGGGGAGATGTAGCGTTAATGTATGTGCAGAGATATCATTTCAATGGGGATAGAGTTTCTTTGTTTTTGTTTTCTTTCCTACTGTGGGTAACGTGTAGAGCATGTTGTGTAGCTAAAGTGTGAGTGTGAGTGTGTGCGTGCATGTGAGTGTGCACTGAATGTCTGAGATGGTTTGGTTTGGAAGGGAACTTATCAGCAGGAGACATTAACATCATCAGCGACTGGTGTAATTTCTATCAAACTTTAAGACGTTTATAATGTGTCTCTCAGTTACATTAAAAACCAGTGGAAGCCGGTGCAGGGGCCCACCTGCGTTCGACCAGAATGTTTTCATACAGGTAAATGAAATCAACAAATGTCACCTCAGATTTTGTCTGTTGAATGTGAAATGAGCCACAGTCAGACACCCAGACACGTGCAGCAGTAGTAAAACGGTAATTTAACCACTGGGGCAAACCTCTGTCCTTTGTTTGCTTTTAAATGATTTTAAATTTAAATATTAAGTTTAACCTGTTAATCCTTCTTTTTGAGTCAATTTTCCAGACAACTTAAACCGCAGTATTTCTGATCTCTTCTTACTTGTGGTACATCTCTGGTTGACTGCAGGCCCAGCACATCACTGTTCATAAGTACTTGGTTTCTGGAAGCTAAACATATGCTGCTACCTAAACAACAGGAATGACTCAACAAGAAGAGCACGGCGGATTTCCTCCATCCTTGTTCCTTCATTTTTTCTGTTTTCACAAACGACATTTGCAGTATTTATTGGACACCCCCTGACGCTTGTTACATGTCGGCCTCGATTCTGCTCGCAGCCTGTTGAGTCCGTCAGTTCAGTCTGGACCCTTTCTGTCTCAGTCAAGTTACCGTCTTATTTTTAGTGTTTCAAATCGTTTTTGTTCACCCTTGGGGCATTTAAATAACTGTAATATAAGTGTAACATATTTCCACAAAAAGAAAGAAAATCAAAAACTCACAAAGTGTTGTGTGGTTATTTGTTTCCCTCCTGTCTGAAGCCTTCTGCAGTTTTCTAGGAGCCACCATGTGTGGTTGGTTGTTGCTGCACTGCTGAAGGTGGACACTGTAAGGCTGTGTGGAGCCCCATGTTGCACCAGCAGGAGGCAGAACACACCTGTAAATGTCCAGTAATCTACAGCTGACCACGTTAGGAGGCCCAATAAAAGGTTCACTGCTTTCATTCTGACCTGTTTGCTAATGTGGCTACACTTGATTATTCTGCTTGACCTCACTAGATGAAACGACTCAGCTCTGCCCAAACACTTAGCCGTGTAATTTCAAATCAAAACTTTATAGGCCCAGAAAGAAATGATCTGGATGTTATTTGGATCAGATCAAAGACTGATCTAGTTCATTTTGTGTTCTGATTTTTAGTAAGTCGGGTGCTTCCAGACAGGACTAGTGCTGCTTCAATACACATGACTTAGGCAAAGTGTGGTGCTTTTGGACTTAAAATCATGTCATCTACCTTTTTTGCAGAGCACAATTTTTTATTCACCAAACATTTCCATCTGAGTGTTTCTGGCATTCTTATATTGGATCTATTGAACAGTCATGCTACATTTAAATCAGCATATTGATGCAAAGCATAATTTTTAAAACATTGTTTTTGCAAAATACAGTTATGCCTAGTGGATGCAGAGATGCCCAAGAAAAATATAGATTATCAGAAACCCTTTATTTTACAGGTCTTGTAAATTGCAGTTTGTTTCATAATGTTTTAAAGGTACAATTGGAGCATGATCAGTTGCCTCACTTCTGTTTAATTCTAAATGCTCAATAAAGAAAGCCATTTCAAATAATTAATAAATAACAATTATTAACTGCGGTTTACAGTGATCCATTTGTTTCTTGCATATTAATCTGGAAGTTGATAATAAACTTTCAAGAAATTATTAGGAAATAGCAGACCTGTAAAATAAAGCCTTAACGTATCATATTTTCAGTAAGAGACAAGCAACACTGCAAACAAATTAAATTTAAAAATGTTTTTCAGAAGATTACAAAAAGAATGATACAATTTATCAAGTCAAAGGATTTAGTCATTTGCTTTTATAAAAGCATCTGTTCCTCACAGTAGAAGATGTAACTGTGTTACGGTTTGTATTTTCTTGGAAACTGATTTAAACAATGAGTATAAAACAGTTTTTTTGACAATTGGCTCAGTTGTTATGTAATAGATGTAATATTGTATTTTACAAAATAATTTTAAATAGGTGATGGAAACATTGTTTTGTATTTTTTGTATTGATGCTGAAAAATAAGTCACATGACTGACTAATGAACAGGATAAATCAGAAATTGTCACCGACCTCAAACACCCTGATAAAAGCAAGAAATGTTCAATGAATAACACGGTGTTGCTTCCAAACACTACCAAAGATTGTCCGTTTACAGTGTCTTTATTCCACATATTTACAGACAAAATCACTTCCTTATTTACATTCACATTATGCTTGAGTTACTTGCAAATTAAAAATAAAAAAATCAAATCAAATTTTTATGGTGTTCTGTGATGATTTTGATTAGTGTTGTATCATCTTCATGTGTTCACGCCCCGGCTGAGTGCAGGTGGGTGTTATTCCATGTGGAGGCCAAAATAAAAGGTCCAGTCTGGATTCACATCAGTAGCCGCGTAGTAGCCATTTAGTGGTCACTTACAGCAAAACTACACATTTCTTGCAGTACATTGATATCAGACAACTCAAACAACCCCTGTCCATTTTATACAAAACATGGTCTAAGAGTTTCTGTAATTTTTGTGACAACAAAACTGATATAACCACTTTAAAAAAGGTTTATTTATAGCAAAAACAAAAAGGTGAGGCACACGCCAGTGAATATAACTGGCTTCATTTTTGACTTCAGTAATACTTGGACAAAAACATTTGCAGTGCTCTTATTAGATTCCTTGTGGCCTCAAAATGGAAACCAAGCAAGAAATCTAATAAGTAGACCTTGAGTTATGCATTTTTTTTTTGTCAAATTACTGCTTCTTAATTCAGGAATCAACTTTGAAGCTCAGTTCGTTATATTCACTGATGCACCCAGTGCTACTTTAGTCATATGTATATTTGTGTTTATACATCTTGGGCGTCAGTGGATTTGCTGCAGAGTTCGCTACAAGAGCTCATTGCACCACATGGAAGAGAGCAGAGCTACAAAAAAATCCCATCTGATGTAAATGACTGTTTTCTAAATCTGCAGGCCACGTCTGTATTTAATCCAACATGACACAAATGCCCAAGAATACCAGGTGTTAGGGAAAAAATTAAGGGTGGAGACGAATTCAGGAAGGGCTCCAAACCCAGGATTTGCAATTAGAAACATAAAAAAACCACAAAGTATAGCACAATATGTACATCTTTACACAAATGCACTTCCACAGGCTCATGTAATATTTATGTGGGTGGACTGAAATAATCACAAGCGTTCAACTGGTCAGCATTTTACACAAACATTTGTTAGAGGCCTGATCTCAGTTTAGTAATCAATGAATCATTAGGTGAAAAGCCAATCTGATGAAATTCTGTGGATTACAGAGGTACTTAAACTGCTATATGAGTGTAGGATCGCTGGTTAGCCTAGTGTTCATAAATACCACACAGTCATGGATGAATAATGTTTATATTTTTGTCCAGAGTTTTTTCTCAGCTCCTCTTGGTATAGTTAGAAAATGCTCTCAAATGCTGAGTTGCATACTCCATAGTGCTCAAAATGTGGTTTGTGCTCCCTCAAACATTGTGTCGGTAGTTTATCTCCACAGAAACCTTCTCATCTTTGGCTCCACCCACTGAAATTTACTGTAACTCAGCCAGTGAGATGAAATCTGCCTCCAAAACCTGTTTGCGCACACAAAAATGTCTGTTGGTTACACTGACCTTGACTCATTCAAAGACAGCTGTGATGATTTTTCATACAAAGCATCAACTTACATGCACATCACAATTGAGTGCAAGGCTGTTAAAGAGAAACCTGCACACTGACTCCAGGCCACAGCATTTATTCACCAAGACAACGTTCTTCTTCTTGACTGGACGATGAGCTGACTGGGAGAAATGGTCTTTTTTAATCTGTTCTGTGCCTTGGAATCAGTGTGCTGTATTACTTCCTGTATCTTCTCCACCCACAAAACCAGTGTTGTCAAAATGTTTTGGTGATTCTGAACAAAAAAAAAAAAAGAAAGTAGGGCTTCCCCGCGATTCCTTTTCTCAGGTGACCATTTTCTCTTTATGAGCTCATTATCAGGAAAAGTCTACAATCAGTACAGACATTATAAAACACGACGGAGGATTCACCACTGTGATCCCAAGTCCTGCATCTGATTGTCTAGCTGACAAGAAAAGCGCCAAAGAAGCTGCTCTTCTCATCCATGTCCACAGCAGAGGCGTTCGTCACAGTGACAAACAGGCGGTCGCCGTTGCTGAGTGGGAACAGCCCCCCTTGGTGGGCGGAGTGTAGAGAGAACTGGGAACCCCGGGACCAGCAGGAGGTTCGACTTGTCTTCATCAGCAGGATGGGAACCGGGTAGGAGCTCATCTGGTGGGAGAAGGAGAGGTGAGTGGGTGGGGGTGTAGCTCTGACTCATGGTGGATCATCATTGGATTGTGAGTACAATGTCTACAACATGTGATCTGTCAGTGATATTCTGCAGTTTACTGAGGTCAGTCAAATCTGATGAGATATTGTGTGGGCCGAACAAATGGACAACCTGAAAACGTAATGCCTCTAGACATGGCTGTCGCCACACAGAGGTGCAGTAAGTGTTGAGATCAGAGAAGATTCCCACCTTTTTATAGACATACTGCAGCAGGGGCCTCCCTCTGTTCTCTGACTCCTCGCCATCCTCGCCCTCCTCCTCCAGGGAGTGGGTGTGTCTGAAGTAAGTCTGGGCGTAGACGTAATAGAGGCCGGGCTGCGGCACCACCAGCTCTCCGTCCACGAGCTTGACATCCTGCAGGAAGGCCAGCCCTTTCTGCGCTTCCGACCATGAGATCTTCTGGCCCTGAACTCGACGGCCGGCGGAGACTGAAGCTATGGAAAAGAAACCCGATAGGAATAAAGTCACCTCATTGTAGAATGTTTTGTTAGGAAAGCCTGATTCCAGTCAGAAGAGAAATAGATTAATGTTAGAAATAATAAAAATAAAAATATTCAATCAAAAAATTAGACTTTTTGGTCACAATTCTGGGATTCTGGGATACTGAGTCAACATGGATAATAAAAAGCTAGGCAGAATGGGTTAAAGAGTTTTGTAGAAGCATACTGCAGAAAATATATTAAAGTTATAGATTAAACAAAACCCCAGCCCAAATGACCAACTTGCATTCTGACTCGTTTCATCATCATCATCATCAACTTTATTTGTATAGCACATTTAACACAGCCGAAGCTGACCAAAGTACTTAACACAATATTCACAACACCCCTTAAAAAAACAACATAAATAAACAGCAAAACAAAAACATCATACTTAAAACAACCCCCTATCATAAATCACAAGCTCAACAAGACACAGGATCACACTGGTTCGAACGCCAGACGGTACAAATGAGTCTTCAAATAGGTTTTAAAAGTGGACAACGAGGGGGCCTGTCTAATATAAAGGGGCAATGCATTCCACAACTTAGGCGCCCCCACAGAAAAAGCTCTGTCCCCCCTAGATCTCCGCCTAGCCCTCGGTACCTCCAAGAGTAGCTGGTCAGCCGATCTGAGGCACCTTTGCCAGCTGCCGGAGGTGATAAAAACTGGCCCGTACAACTGCATTCACCTGACATTCCATTCTAAGAACAGAGTCTATTTTAACACCAAGGTTAGTAACGGTGGACCGCACGTACCGTTCCAAGGAACCAAAATCAACTCGGGGAAAATCACCAGAGTTATTTAGACCAAACACTATAACCTCGGTCTTCGTATCATTCAACTTCAATAAGTTTAAGCTCATCCACTTCCTAACGTCATCAAAACATGACAATAGTGATGCAACTGATGATGCGTCCCTTCCCCTCAGTGGCAAATACATCTGTACATCATCCGCATAACAATGAAAAGAGACCCCATGCTTCCTGTCATGCATGTTTCAGTGGAACTCACCTCCCTCTCGGCCCAGTTTGGGCACAAAGCTACCAGTGACATGGGCTGCCACTTTAGGGCGAGATGAAGCCTTTTCCTCCATCACAAGTGAGGGCAGCACTCGAGATACTTCATCTAAAGAAAAGAAGAAAAAGAAATTTAACTCTTTTCTCTTCTACCTGCCTAACCCTCCTGAACCAGGCAGATAACACAATAAGTCTTTATGTTGTCATTAGGTTTTCTTACCTCTGACTGCTGAAGAAATCTCCCTCTGGTAACGCTGAGACAGAGACTGTATGGAAAACAAAACCACTTATTAGAGAACACACAATTTATTTTTGATGTATTATCACTGACAGCACCATCGCAAACTAATACACCTTCAAGAATCATACATAACATTTGTCTGATGACCCCCTTTCAGACTTCTGACTGCTACTGTAAATCTTAATAAAAGATCTAAGAAAGGGGGTAGAACTAGATAAGTCTGTACTTCTTTCTACTCCCTTTCAAGCATGCAATGGTGGTAGTATTTATAATTCACTTCATGAATGTGATATGACTGAATTGTATACTATTTTGTCTTTATATTGTTATTAGTTTTTTCTTCTTGTATTGTATATGCACTACCTTTTTTTCTTTTCTCACAATTTTATTTCTGTAATGCTATTTTATTTTTTACATGCTTGAAATAAACTAAACTAAAAGCAAGTGGCCTGTGTAAAGGCAGAAAAGTTGCAGTTCTCACTGCTTGCCAGTAGAGGTCGCAGAGGTCAATCATTTCAGCAGTAACTAAGGACTATGAACATATTTATTATCTGAAGATATCAGCACTCAGTTACAGTTGATGTGACAGGAGCAAGACTTTACTTTGAGGGAAGCTGAACCTCAAAGGAAGCTCTGCTAAATTGATCTGATTAAAATTTCCATGGAATTTATTTATAAATGCCCCCAAATGCAAGATACTTAGCTAAGAAGATGAATAAATATAAATACTGGAAATGTGGTGCCAGTAAAAGTAAAAACACTGACTCCACTATTCCAAAATAAAACTACATAAAATTTATCTGGATGTTTCCTCACATTTATTTATTGTGCTTAGAAGCAGCTTCAAATCATTATTTCTGTCACGTGCATGTCATTAGTTTCTATCACCAAAGTATTTGACCCGATGGTGGCACCAGATGAAATGTTAGGATTAAAGTGTTTACAATCATCTTGTCATTCAGGAACCTGTGCAGCAGTTGTCATGATAAATAAACTACAATAAATAAATATGAAAATAAAATGGTGCTAATCAAATCAAGAAGATGTTGCACTGTTTCACCAAACAAAACGTTGGGATCACAGGGGCATCACCAGAGTGTGCTGACTATGTCTACTGGGCTGGGGACGTGAACATCTACTGCAAGCTGTGGATTTATTTTAGCCTGAACTGGCGGTGGCACTAGAGGAGAAGTCAGGGATTAGCCAAAGCCATTAGGATTCCTTCCCTGGGGAACATGAATGTCTGGACAAAATTTCAACACAATCTATCTGGTAGGTGTTGGGATATTTCAGTATGTGGCAAAGTGGCACAAGACAAGGTAAGGACGAGGATGTAAATAAAGCCACATGACATGAATAAGTAATATAACATTGTTGAGTGATTCATTCTTGTGATACATATCGGCAAACTAAACAGATATTTGTGGGTTTCACAGGACCCTTATATGTACATTTACCCTGTGTTAAAATCAGAAACTGATGTTCTGGCTCAAAATGTCCCGAACTAAATTTACTCAGGAGGCTGAGTCAGAAAATACCCAACTTCAGTTATTTAAGAGAGCAACAAAGTCAGCAGAGGAGGGGAAGATAAACAAACACTGTGTACGAGAAGCAAGTCAAGGAAGAAGACTAGCTTTGGTGTGTGTGTGTGTGGGTGTGTACGTGCGAGTGTGAGAGCAGGGCAGGTGAATGCATTCCTGTGCTGATTAAACCACACAGGATCACATCACATCTCCAGCTATGAAGGAGTTCATTGTGCATCTGCCGGCACTTATGTGGATCATTTCAGCATTTTTTTTCTCCTGCTAACATCAAGATCTGCAGAACAGGAAGCCCCACATAACAACGGTAATGACTGTGTCATCCTCATAAGTCAATTTGTTGCCTCACTTATTTTTGTACCTAGTTCAGAAACTGTGTCTAACATTAAGTCAAAGGCTGCAAATAGTTTATACTTTAGCTATTGTCAAAAAAATCACATAAAAAGGCCAAAAATTCATCTCTCAGTACTTAGCACCTGACCCTGCCTGTGGCTCTCAGCTGGTGTATTAACTAAGATTTCACACATAGAAGGGGAAGTGGTGTCTCTCAGCTAACCTGTTTGTTTTGGTAACACTGATCTCTCAATAATGAACTGTTGATAGGCTAATCAATTAATCAACTAAGATAGAAATCAGTGAAAACTCAGAATGTTTTTCATACCAGCAGGACACGAGTCTAACAACACAGTTTCCTTGTGGCTCAAATGTAACCATCATATGAAAACTCCCAGTTGTGCAAAGTGTGAGACAACGGAATAATGATAACAGTAAAACTGCTTTATCAGTTGCTTTTTTGGCATTTGCAGCTGAAGTGTGGGAGGATTAGTACTATCTCCAAACTCCAGTGGGTGGGGGGTTTTGAGCCAGTGCAGACTGGGAGAGAACAGAGCTCCGAATGCCAGAAATCTCGGCAGCTGGCCAAATAATCACAGAGTCATTAATACTGATATGTACAGGTCATTCTGTGCTGCAGGGCAGTGAGGTCATAATTCACACTCCTTTTACACTTAGAGTTAAAGTTTAAGATTTTTGGGCTTATTGTTGTTTTCCATTACCTTCTCAATGAGCAGGTGAAGCTGCTGAGTGACTTGCCAGCATGGATCCCCCCGGACAGCTGTGATGCTCTGCAAGTCCGTGCCCGTCAGACAAGACACGCTACTCCTGGCAAATGTCTCCTTCATCTGCATAGAGTGTGTTAAGAAATGTCAACAACATCAAAACTGTTAGGCCAAGCATCTCTCCTCCCCTCCTCTTCCCAACAAAGGTTTGCCTGACTTTCTTTTTACTTTCATTTAGTTTGTCAGTAAAAACTATAATCTAGAGTTGTCATTTTTATGGCATAACTGAGGAAGATGTGCTTTAAAAATTGCATAAATCTCCTTTTACATTTCACAATCACTGCTTCAGTTTATCAGGCTCCTGAGTCAGCACAGTTTCTTGGCATGTGACCCTTTGCTCTTTGTTTAGGTTTCATTTCTTCACTGTTCACATATATGTTGCTGCATTTCATCTGGGTTAATGATTCGTTCCTGTAAACGCAGACTGGGAATTGTACTGGACTGAATCCAGATAACCAAAGGACCCAGGCGTTACCAAAACGAGTAAGTCCAACACACACACACACACGCAGCTCTGTGGAAACTGTCCCTGATAAAAGCAGCTAATCATAAAAATAGCTGCAGTCCACCTCTTCTGCTGCCACAGCTCTTTACTTACTTGTATTCGTTTTGTGTTCGCAAAGGCCAAGAATGCGTGAATCTTTGCAATAAACTACGCTGTGCAAAACTCACTTGTTTTAACGTGAAAGCAGCAGATTCGGCCTGCGTTGCATTCTGCAAAAAAGAAGTTGGATGTGGACTGAATGTGCTCTGGGGCGCAGCAGATACATGACTTCTCTCCTAAACATGACAGCGCCTATTCACGCAATAAAAGCCTATAGTAGTTGCAGCAGAGTGCTGAAGGTCAATAGCAAGTCTAACTTTCATGTGTCTGTATCAAAGACCTGAACAACTTAGAGCCCACTTCGCTGTGCGTTGCGCACAGCGATGCGTAAAAGCTTCCGCGCGTCTCCGGTTCGTCAGCTCTAGAAGTGACTTCTCTTACCGAGTTGAGAGCCGCTGTGAAGTGCAGCACGGTGATGGTGACGACCACAGTCTGCAGCAGAACCGCCAGCAGCAGCAGGACACCGAGCTTCGGACCGGAGCCCGTCATAACGACAGACCGTCGTCCGGTACCCGACCAGCGGCGTTCCCAGACTTTCACAACAAGAACAATGGCAGAGAGCTTAACTAAACCTCTACCCTCCCCGTGGCATGTACACAGGAGGAGGAGGAGGAGGAGGAGGCGGGGCCGGCCTGCAACACAAGAGCCTTTTCCCTCAGAATTTCTCCTGGAAAGATTATTGTTTCATTTCTGCGCTGAAAAAACACAGATATCCTTCTATAGTTTATTGTGAACACCCATATCGCTGCTGTAGATCTGTGGTCTGACCTTATTGTGAGAAAACACGGTTTACCTCAGAGAAAAGTTAAACATGCCGAGTGGCACAGCAGCAGGATTTTGGCACGTAGGTGACCATTAAAACCATCGTTTTAATCACACATTAAATCTCCACGGCATAAATTCACATCTCTTGCACCACTGAGAAGCAGAACCATAATGTGGATTTATATTAAAAGGGTGTTTTTTCTGGGGAAAATGCTTTGACCTACCCGACCGACATGTCACCATGACTCAGAGCACATCAGGGTTGTCCACATAAATTATGTTTCTTTCATTCTTTTCACTGATTTGGTTCCAGATTTCTCCTAATTATATTTTGTCCACCTGTCATGTTTCCTTCTGAGTTGAAGTGTGTAAGAAAATAAAGATTTAAGGTAAGGGTTGAATAAGAAAAAGTGCTTGTCTGAAAATGTACCTGTCTGAGTGACTGAAGGTGTCAGTCCTGGCATATTAACTCTTGGAAGATAGTAAATTCTCATCTTTATCAGGCTGCACAAGAAAGACATGATGCTCATTCAGCACTGCTGCCAAATTGTTGAAGGATAAAATGCTTTGCAAAGCAGATCAGCTGATGAGATCACTTTGAGAGGAAACTAGATGCCTAATTTTGATGATAAAAGTCAGAGGGTTTTTCCCAGGGAAAGTCTTTTGATACCGAGAAACGGTAAATTTAGCAATTTGAGATGTATTTAAATAGCAAAAGTTGTAGGTTTTGACTTTAAATCTGTTATGTATTGTGTAAGTAACATAGAACAAAGCCAGACTATATTCTAGAAAAGTACAAGCATTGAAATGGTTTATAGAAACCTTTGCCATCATGTTGATGTTTTCACCTGTCATTCAAATTTAGACTGTTAAAAATCCCCAAAACGTGTACTTTTCTATTGTTATTGGCATTTTGCATGTCCCTGTGGCTCCACAAATATGCAGTTTTTAGATATTATTGCTTTATTTGAAACCCAGAGTGCCTCTAAACACGCCCTGGATGTGTTGCTGCTTTCCTGACACACCCTTGCATCTTACAAAGTGTCAAATTTCTCACTACTTTCAAGAAGTTTAAATTATTTTTAGACTGACCTCCCAGGAATTTTAGTGCACATCCAAAGGATTTTACAGGCACAAGAATCTTACCTTCAAGAAAAGTTTGCACAATGTGAGCAGTAGTGTTTTTTTTCTCCTGTTGTCAACCCAGCGGTCAGTGTAATGAAAAGCTCTGCTAATGTTATTATCAGTGTAGTGTTGTGCAGCGAGGCAGCCTGAGCCCATAATGGACTTTGATCCTGCTGGCTCGCTCCTGCATCTGCAACATCTGGCCTCAATCTGGCTCCTACGCCTTGCCATCCCCCGGGAGATGCTTAGGTTTCACTCCACTCCACCGCTACACCCGCGGGGTCTGCTGGGGGTAGCGCTCTGTAAACTGTGTGCGTGTGATGGAGAGCACCAAGCATACATGAGGACTGAGAGAGAGCATCGTCACTACAGGCTGGAGAGAAATGTGAAAATACTGTCCTTTACCAACTAACATTCACTTTCTGGACTTATCCCACTTTTAGCCAGTGCTTCAATATGTCTAACCCCAACCCTAGGCCTAACCTTCCCCAGAAACAAGTCCTAACCCCACTTCAGATATTTACCCTCTCAGAATGAGCTGTTTGTCCAGAATTAGGTCATCAGAACCAGAACAGACTTTAGACCCCACATTGTGGTGAATAAACACACACTGAGTGTGTTTCTGAACAGCGGCCAAGTTTTGATAGGGATACAAAGAGGAGAGTTGACTGACTCCCCCGCAGAGCTGATTCCTTCCCTCCTCAGTCGCCTCCCAGACTTTGTCTTTGACTCCCCCCCGCTCTCGTTCTTCGCCTCTGCCTCTTTTCATGTCTTTGTCTTTTTCTTTTTCTCTTCATCTCTTTCTCATTCCTTGTCTCGAATTTCCATTACTGGCATACATGGATTCAGAATCGCACAAACCAGTGTATAAGAGATGTAAAGCTTTGTTCACATACTCGCACAATAACAGTTTTAGCACACTTTCTTCTGTTGTCATGTATGTGGTGTGTTTTTCTTTCCGCCATCAGTCCGACATTAATATATGCAATGCAATGAACCAAACGTTTATGTTTTTGACCTCTGAGTCAGGACTGTGCTCACCGCTGTGGGTGAAGTCGCACAGTTGCTTCAGAAACTTTTGACACTTTATTGTGTTGGAAATGGAATTTTAAGTGGATAAAACTGCCATTTTCTCCTGTCGGTTTACTCAGTAACACATAATGGCTTATAGTGGAAACATGTTTTTAGATATTTATGCAAATTTATTGAAACACAAAAGCTGAAATCTCTCATTACAAAAGCATTCAGACCCTTTGCTGTGGCTCCAAACTGTGGTAACTGTGGCATCCTGTTTGCTTTAATCATCCCTTGGATGTGTCTGCAGCTTCAATGGAGTCCACCTGTGGCAACTGAATCGATTGGAGACAGTTTAGAAAGACATACACCTGTGTGTATAAAGTTGACACTGCATGTCAGGACAAAAAACAATCATGTAGCTACAGAGCCACAATCTGTCTCACCACAGTTTTATCACAGAGGTCTACAGAGAGCTCCTTGGACTTCATGTCTCAGCTTTTGTCCAAGAAGAGTCATTAAAAAAACACACACACAGTCCAAAAAACTAATTTCTGAGAGGCTATAAAGTCCTCTTCAAGTCCTTTATTGTCCACTCATCACATAAAACCCATGTCTGGACGCTGATGAGGATGTAGTATTGAAGCATTTGTCAAAGGGATTCGTTCCCATGGTTTATGTGATGAGCAGACAATAAAGGATTTGAAGAAGATTTTATAGCCTCTCAGAAATGTGTTTTTTGGACAGTGTGTGGTTCTTATAGGTGAGTTTTTCCTGGACAAAAAGCAAGGTATGAAGTTCAAGGAGCTCTCTGTAGACCTCCATGATTAATGACTGTGAAACGGAAGAAGTCTGGAACCACAGTCGACTGTCCGGCCAAACTTAGTAACTGTGCAAGAAGGGCCTTGGTCAGGGAGGAGACCAAGAACCCAACGGTCCCTCTCACAGAGCTTCACAAGTCCTCTGCAGAGATGGAGAACCAGCTGAAGAACAACCATCTCAGCAGCTTCTCCATCATCAGGCCTTTATGGTAGAGTGGCTAGACAGAAGCCACAGCAGGCAGACGTTTGCCTGATGACAGTTAAAGGACTGTGAGAGCAGGCGGACAAAGCATCTGATGGGACAAACAGAACATGTCATTAAGTGACAGAAAGGTTTGTGTGTGTGAACAGTTTACATTAATTTTAATGTTTGCTAAAATATTTTATTAATATAATCATATTATCTATAAAACCCAACATGTCCTGTCTCTCTCTCTCTGAGGGTTTGTCAAGCAAAACACTCTCCAATCACTTGCACACATGCTGTATTAATTTTATCCATCCCATTACACCCAGAGCTGAACAATATCTATCTGACCCAAACACACACACCTCGGGAAGGGAGCAGTGGGACGGTTAAGGCAGCCAATGGGGATGCCGGAAACCTGAGAGCTGACCAGTGAGCAAACAGGAAATGTTTGGGGACTTTCCAAACTTCTTGTGGCTCTGCATACTTTTGTCAGATTTTAACGATTTTACGTTGGTGGGTGTGTGAGTCTGGTGTTACCGACACTGTGGGGACAGAAGTCTGCCTACACACACACACATTATGGGGACTTGAGCTTCCTCTTGGGGACCAGGTGTAAATCATTGAATTATAGGGTGAGACTTGGTTTAAGGTTAAGGTTAGGGTAAGTCAGTGTAAAGTCCTTGTGTGGAATGAATGAAAACACATGTATGTGTGTATGTTTCTGTACTTCTGCATTTGATATAACGCCCCTCATTGTGTGTGTGAGTGTGTGAAGGTGTTAAGGTTGAGGCTACTCGCTCACTGGGCTCGGGGAATGAATCTCAATGGACCTCCCCGCTTTGTCTGATGACTACACGGTTTAGGGCTTCATTTCATTTTGGGAATCAAGTGTTCAGACGGAAGCGAGTGATTGAGGAGGCCACCAACCCCGGGATGGAAAGGCCTCCTCCAGACACAGTTGGCGGCCTTGTGTGAAAGGACACTGTGTGGACACTACTGTCCTCATACCTTTGGTCTGAGTGTGTTGTTTTGCAACCCTACATTGTGTCAGACAAGAGAGGTGATATTACACAATTTTGCAAAACACTAGATTTTGTTCTTATTTTCTACAGCTGATCAAGGTCCTGTGAAAACCCTGTATCTCCAAAATGTTGGTAAGAAAAACAGCTTGCTGTCTGACGTGGTAAGTGTGATGGTAAATGTTAATGGATAACCTTAAGTGGTACAAAGCCAAGCACTCAACTGCCTGAGGTATAAAAAAGTCACCAAAAAAAAAAAAAAAAGTGTAAATGTCATATAAACCAGGCCTTTTTCAGGGATACGGTAACAGGTGAACTTACATCTTTTCTGCAGCAGTGGAAGTAAATGAAGCCTTGAAAAGTGATGCAGTTCCTACAGGTGTCCCAAGACATTCTGTCTGTACTGGGGCAGACTTGGATAAAACTGTTACTACACCTTCTGAAACATCGTTTGGAAAAAGGCCACTAACAAAGGAAGTCAGAGCTTCTCAGGGTTTCATGCCACTGTTGCATTACACTAATAACAACTGGAAACATGGAGGTGTTCCAAAACTGATAGTGTTTTAGTTTGATTTCAGTTGTGCTTTCCTGTTTCAACACGACAATGTTCCCATGCACAAAACATCCAATCCTCACTAATGCTCTTCTGTTTGAATAG